CTAATAGAACAAAGCAGAGATGACAGGTTGTATATGATTATGTGGTCACATTACATAGCATTGTAGCACTCATCTTGCTGGAACCTCTTTCCCTGCTGACTTTGAGGAAACAAGTGGCCAAGTTGGGGAAATCCAGGTAGCAAAGAATTAGGCACAGCCTGTAAGAACTGTTGGCCTCCAGCCAACAGCCAGCAAGAAACTAAATCTCTCTCCACTTACAACCTCAAGAAACAGGATTCTGCCAACAACCTGCATGAGATTAGAAGTAGATAGTTTTTCATTCAAGCATCAGATGAAACCACAGCCCCAGCCAACACCTTGATTGCAGTCTTGCTAGACACTAGGCATAGGACCCAGTTAAGCTGACTCTTTGCTCAGACACTGTGGAATAATAAATGTGTGTTGTTTTCAGCCACTAAGTTTGTGATAAGATTGTTATATAGCAATAGAAAACTAACACAAAAGTAACATATGATTAATTTTATGCCTCTTAACTATGAAATCTCATGATGTCCAAACCTGTTACNGTTTCCAGTTTTCAAGATGAAAAAGTCATGGAGATGTGCTTCACAACATTGTGAATATTCTTAACACTACTGAACTATACACTTTAAAATGGTTAAGATGGTAAATTTAATGTTCTATGCTTTTATCACAATGAAAAAAAATACCTATAGTAAAAAAAAGAAAACACAAAGTAATCCACTTGGTAACTGGGACAGCATGCCTCACTTAATACCAGTCATTTGGAGGATAAAGCACATAAAAATATTCCTGTTGACTTCCTGTCTTCAGGAAATTTAAATTCTAATGAAGACAATAAAATAAAATATGAATAAACTTTTCTAAAAGTAACATGACTTGAAAGTGCTGGTGGGTGAAATTAATCATGTAAAACCTTCTATCAGAATTGGACTCGGGCTTAAATCTGTGGGCATGAAGGAGGTTCACAGACTGTTCACCGAGGTCTGCGTGGGAGCAGTAGTTCTGTACACTGAGTCGTTCAATGTCACAGTGACCTTGTGAAGCTGGACGAGGAAAGGGGTCAGTGGTGTGGGAAGTTTTCTACATGCAAGAAGCAGCATGGGAAAAAATATTTCTTTGAAGGAGGGAAAGATACATACAAGTGCATAAAGGCTTTAACAAGCAGACACAACCAAGAATATCGGTGGCAAAAAGCAAAGTGTCAGGGTCAGCTAACCAGGAAGGCTTAATGGCCAGAGTCAAAAGGCTCCATGTGGTCTAAACACTCACCGAGAAATAACTTTTGAGTGGGAATGTAATCTGGTTTAATCTGTGGGTATAAAAATTAATCTAGATTCAAAGAAGTTTGGAATGGAGGTCTGAGGAAGGAGAGGGATTAAAGAGTTATATACGTTCTGAGGTGTAATTCATGTCATATTCTTAGGTTCATTGAAATGAGCCATTATTTCGTATCTGTTTTTAGTAATTTTTACTTGTACGTGCTAGAAAACCATGGCATAATGCCTGTCTCCTTTGTTCATGCCCTTGCATGCTCTTATCTCCCTGAGAGTAGGCACGACTTGTGATTTGCTTCTAACTAATAGAACAAAGCAGAGATGACAGGTTGTATATGATTATGTGGTCACATTACATAGCAT